GTCCATCAGTGACTATTAGCCACAAGATATAGATAGGGACTCTGGGGCAAGTGATGCTCTGCCATCTTGGTGCTTGGGGGGGGTCAACAGTGGAAGGGCTTCTAATGTCCTGGCCCCACTGCTGGACCTCCTGATGGCACTGGTATTTCTGGCCACTGTGTGATACAGAGTGTTGGACTGGATGGGCCTTTGGCCTGATCCAACATTGGCGTCTCTTATGTTCTTATGTTATATTCAATAAGTAAGCATTATAAATATCACATTGACAAACAAGCAGTAAACAGTATTTTGGGAACGGTGATCAGGAAGGGCGGGGTATAAATACGAAAATAAAAATAAATAAATAAATAAGGTTGGGTTGAAGTGTCACTAATATGCAGATGATACCCAGCTCTACCTTTCTTTTTCACCATATGGTCTGGATGAGGGTGAATAAGCTGAAACTTAATCCTGACAAGACAGAGGATCACTGGGTTAGTAGAAAGGCAGAAGAGGAACTTCAGATTTCTCCTGTCATGGATGGGGTTATATTCCCCTTGAAAAGATAGGTTCATAGTTGTTAGTGGGATTCTGGGTCTGAATGTTTTTTTAGCTGTCCTACCTTACAGGGGTATCCTGCAGCAGGTAGTTCCAACAGTTAACAGGGGGGCCAGTCCTTACTCAAAAGTGAGGGCAGGATCGTGCACTATTGAAGAGATTCCCACTGTTCCTTTCAGCCCAGCAAACATGGAAGCAAATTCACAGTTGAAACACAGTTTATTGAGCAACAACAGGATAAACAAAGCACTGTGATATACCTCCTATCTTCCTGAGAGTGAAGGGACCAATTGCCTTCCCCAAGGAGTCACCTCTACCCCCGTATTTAGGGAGCATGTGCCACAGACACACACAGACAGAGAAAGCTGGGTATATAAGTCCAATGAGTGCTCCTTGGTGCCCAGGTTTCTCTCCAAGGCCAATAGTAGCTCCCCCACCAAATGGGGAGAGGGTCAACAGTGATGACCCTGTGCTGCTCTAAGGCTCTGCCTTTTATGGGGTGTCGAAACCAACCTCCCCACACCACATTACATCATTCTGAGCATGCTGAGAATGTGGGTATCTGCATGTCCACTGTGTGTTCCCTGCATGTTGTGGTGCTTTTGGAGGATGGAATAGAACAGACCCTTTTGGGGTCTTATCTGGACTGTTTTGGCACTACGTGCTCCTCAGGATGGGTTTCTGGAGGGCCTTACTCTATTGTAACTAGTAAATGACCTTCAGGCCTGAGAAGCCAGTCTCCTAGCTATCTCTTGCTCAGCATAATAGGATACAATACAATAAGACACTCTTCTTTCCAGAGGATCAAGATGATCTTGTGCCTGCATGTTTCTGACATGGCTGTTCTTCAGACAACAGAAAAACTTAGATAAGGCCTAGGGAATGGCTCAGAAATAGCAAGGAAGTGAGGTGGGGTTTCGGCGAGCTGAAAGCGGCTGTGTCTCCTGGGATCTCCCAGGGAGGCGGCTCGCAAACCAGCAGTTAGAGAGGGGGTGCGAATGTCTGCACCCCCCGGGGACCCTTGCGAAGGGTTTCCAGTCATGGAACGCTAAAGGGAAGTCATGGCACACTGTCAGGAAGTTGAGGCGTCCCTTTGCTCTGACAGTCTCTCTGCTGTGTTCCGGCAAGGACTAAGCTACGCACACCCCATCAAGTGCGTGGAGGTCGAGCGGTAAATAAGCATATCTGTCGGTGAGATCTACTTGATCTACATATGAAGAGTGAGTAAAGTTGAAATGAAACAACAAAGCGAAAGCTCCCCCTGGGAAAAGTGAGGGGGGAGAGGGGACTGTCCTCCGCTAAGAACTGTTTATAAGCGTTACGGAGCTAGAAGAGAGGGGGGGCATGTTTAAAAGCGGCAGTGGACTGTACGGAGAGATTCCAGAAGGCAGTTAAGTGTTGAAGCAAGTTTTTGGGACTTTGGCAAACTTTGTAAAAGTAAACATCCTTAAAAATGGCAATGGACAATGTAGTAAGAGCAACAAGCGATATCCAAGCTTTCTTCAGAAAGTGGAAGAGCTGCTGGTTAACCATGTGACCAGAAATAATCATAGACTCTTGCAAACGGTTTCTTAAGCCTTTGTCCCCTGTTGGTATAAACGAGGTACTATGCAAGAACTGTGCTACATGTCAGCTGTTGCGTTTAAAAGGACTGTGTGAATATTGGAGAAGCGTCTAACCAATTATCATAGAGGCTTCCAGGATCGAAGAGGAAAGTCAAATGGGCATTTGCAATTCAAAGGGCCTGTATGCAGACCATAAGCAAGGCTTAAAGCGAAGGAGTATCCTCCATGGTTATATCCTGATTAAGTCGTCTGGGCAATAAGATGATGAGACTCTCTTCAAGCCGGGCATTGAAAAGCAAATTGGAATGACCCCTATGACTACAGGCAAGAATTTAAGTGGAACAGTCCTAGAAAAAGGAGAAGGGACTTTATTTACTGGCAGTATTGTTCAAAGAGTTTATTTACTGGCAGTATTGTTCAAAGAGTTTACCGGCAAATAGTTAAATTCCCTGGCAAGTTGAACTCATTATCATAATTATTGGATAAGGACTTTGGAAATCTTGTAAATAACCTCACACTGTAAATTGTAAATTTCAGAACCAGTGCCTCTACACAGATGTCTGTAATGTTATTTCCGTGTAAATTCTGAAAATAATGTAACAAATACTATTAGTGTATATTTGAGAGAATGGTTACTAGAATTCACATTGTAAAGCCTCAAGAATACACAAAATAACATTTTTATACAATTAGCAGTGGTTTATGTTCTTTGTATAAGCAGGAGTGATAACAGAATATGCACAGTAATTTCCTCTTTATATTTGCAGCGGTGAAAAGGGCAAAATCTATGTTGCGGATTATTAGGAAGGGGATTGAGAATAAAACGTCCAATATTGTAATGCCCCTGTACAGATCTATGGTGTGGCCTCATGTGGAATACTTAGGTACAGAGGTGGGTAACCAAGATGATTAGGGGGTTGGAGCACATTCCCTATGAGGAAAGGTTGAAGAGTCTGGGACTTTTCAGTTTAGAAAAGAGACAACTAAGGGAGAACATGATAGAGGTTTCTAAAGTTATGCATGGGGTGGAGAGATTTGATAATCTTTCTCCCACTCCCAAAATACTAGAACTCAAGGGCATCCAATGAAGCTGATGGGCAGTAGGTTCAGGACAGACAAAAGTAAATACTATTTTACACAGACAGTGATTAAAATGTGGAATTCGCTGCCAGAGGACGTAGTGATGGCCACAAGAATAAACATCTTTAAAAGGGGATTAGATAGATTCATGGAGGATAAGTCTGTCAATGATCACTAGACATGGTGAGTGAGAGGAACCTCCACATTCAGAGGCACTAAACCTCTGAATCCCAGAGCCAGGAGGCCACATCAGGGGAAGGCCTCAGCCTCTATGCCCTGTTGTTGTCTCTTCAGAGGAACTGGTTGGCCACTGTGTGAGACAGGATGCTGGACTAGATGGACCATTGGTCTGATCCAGCAGGGCTCTTCTTTTGTTCTTATATTCTTAACCTCTGGGAGAGAGGTTGTGGAGGCTTGTAGGCACTCTGTGTTAGTGAAAAAGGCATGTCACAATCACCCTTTCACTATGTTGGTAGATTCTTGGAAAATATTAACTTGACTCAGAGGTTTTCTGTTCTACTAGTAGAAGAAGAAGAGAAGAAGAGATTGGATTTATACCCCGCCCTTCACTACCCAAAGGTGTCTCAGAGCGGCTTACAAACTCCTTTCCTTTCCCCTCCTCACAACTCTCAGCCAGGGTAGGGATGAGAAAACTGAGGCTGGGAGGGGTAGGGGTTAGGGTTAGAATTAACCCTAACTAATTAACCAGAAGAATTAGATGGTGACAGGAGAGAGAAATGAAGGGATACCAGACTGGTTGATGGGATTAGGAACTTTTCATGATATGTTTGCTTTAGCCTTGTAGCTAAAAATGTATGTAGCCATGGAGAGCTTTTTAAAAAAATCACTCCTAAAAAAAGGTGGCAAACTGCACTAATTAGGAAGAGTGTCTGTTTGCTCTGCTCTGCCTTGCTTATGCCCCTAGTGGCTGCATTAAAAGTAAAATAAACTGAAATGCTTTTGCAGAATGCAGGATGATTCTAGCTTCACTGGGCCCTCAGCCTGACTTGGGCCATGTGAAATTTGTACCCCCTCAGTAGTCCTGGTGCTCCCTCCTCAGTGATCCTGAGTGCTGTCTCTGTTTCTCTCCCACTACTGAAATACAATGCTGCACACTCTAAGTGTGCATGGCAGAGACCTCTAAGATAGAGTCCCATGCCATGTGCCCCACCTACTGAACTATGGGGCATCCTGTCTGGAATCTGTGTAGTGTTGGGGGGAGGGTCTGTGATTGGGTGCAAGGAAGGAGGTGTGGCTGCCACTGGGAGGAGGTGATTGGTTGCAGCTGTTGTCTACATCCTGTGCTCTGCTTGGGTTTGTGGGCTGAACTTTGCCTGTGTGCGCGCATGTGTGTGTGTGTGGGTGCTTGGCCTGTTCCATTGTATGGGTGCCTATGGGCTATGCTGTAGTTTTGGATTCCATAAATTTTGGCTTGTTTTGAGAGGTGTTCTGGGCTAGGACAGATTAAGGTGCTGCCTAATTCTTGCCATGCCCCTTTCCCCACTGGCCTAACAGCTCGTGCCAACGTTGCTCTGTGACATTGCCACACCAGCAGGCAGACAATGCGCAGTGCTGCTAGGGTGCTCTGCTGGTATATCTTGGGTCCTTGTGTGCTTTCAGCCCACACCCCTCCAATTGCACTACAGGTATACTAGATCGTGTGATTCCATGAGAGATAGCTGACAGCACTGCAGAATTACATTGTGTTCTAAGCCAGTTATTATATTTACATGTGTACTTGATGTACCTCTGATATATAGGATACTTTGTAAAATAGTAGCACTTCCTCTCACGCTCTCTCCATCTCTCTCTTTTTAGGTACTTCAAGAAGTGTAAAAGCATCTCCTGAGAAAGCTGAACTTTTTTCCCAGAAGCTAAGGAATAAACATGAATTCACAGTTTTGGTGACACTCAAACAAGCTCGTTTAAATTCAGGAGTTATTTTTTCTTTTCACCACTTTGATCATAGGTGGGTACTTATTTTTATATTTCTTGCTTTGGTGGTGTATTGAAATGTGCTTAAAATAAGCGATATATAGGCCCATAATGAACTTAAGTTGTTATCATAGACAAATCTGCCAGGAGGCAAATTCAGTTGGAACTGATTGGATTTACTTCTTATGTATTAATATTTAGGGATGGGAGGAACACTATGACATGATGTGTGGCATTATCTGAAAATTGCTGTGGTGCACATGATTGTGGATAATGTAAATGGGTAGAAATCCACAAGCTAAGATCTATCAACGGAAACTGGCATAGCTGTCATTGTTTAAATGTCTCCTCCTGCTAAGGGCATAAAAAGACATTTCACTATTGGCTTGTCATATAATTGCAAGCTTCATCCTCATCTAGCATAAAATCAGTCTGTCATTGTTGCCAGTGGACCTATATCAGTTCAGAGCATACATGTACTTGTCGATGTGCTTCCTAAGGTGTTTTTTTTTAGTGTGTGTGTGTCTTTGCAGGATAGTGAATATTCACAGAGGTTAATGAAGTGCATCCATAGTAATAAATAGTAGGGTTAGAACATAGTAATAAATAGTAGTAGTCTTATACCCCCAAAAAACTATATTAAACTATAAGACTTGAGGGCATCTGAGAATGATATTTTCATGATATGACAAGGCAATTGCTGTCACAGGTATAAAGGGTGTTATCAAGATAGTTATACAGCTGCTGAAGCGGTCAACAGAAGGCTCTAAAAAGATATTGTAACAACAATCTTGAAAATAAAGAATTACAAGTCAAACCTGAAAGCCCTGTATCACAAGCCTCATTGAAACCAATAGGTTTTGTAACCACAAAGCATTGTGATTCTTACAATTGCAGTACTGTGAGGTTAATAAGTTAGGGTACTGGAGTGCGGCTCCAGATGGCACTGCGGGAACCGATACCCCCTGGCGGCTTGTTAGATGAGCTTGTGGAGGACTGGCATTGCTGGCTCTCCACAGCTATTGACAAGATCGCTCCACGGTGCCCTCTACGCCCCCACACTAGGCTAGCTCCTTGGTACACCCAGGAGCTGCGGCTTATGAAGCGGGAGCTCAGACGGCTGGAGAGACGGTGGCGCCGAGCTCGAGGTGAAGGATCAAGAGCATCTTATAGGACGTTTATGAAAGCCTATGAGATGGCAGTCAAAGCCGCAAAGAAGGATTTCTATGCGGCAGAGATTGCGTCCGCTAGCTCTCGCCCAGCCCAATTATTTAGGACAATTCGGTCAATAACAGCTCTGCCACAGGGCAGACCAAATGATAGGGAATTGGATATTGGCTGTGAGGCATTTGCGAGCTATTTTGCGGATAAAGTCTTGGCGTTTCGCTGCGACCTCCCCGCCACACTTGAAACAGTGAGCGAGCTTGAGGCCCATTGCATGTCTTCGGTCTTGACCTTGGATCACTTCAGCCCACTCAGTCTGGAGGAAGTCGACAGACTGCTCGCAGCTGTGCGTCCAACCACTTGCAGCCTTGACCCGTGCCCTTCATGGCTTATTAAATCTGGCCTTGAGGGGTTTCGGGGAGCCCTAAGGGAGATTATCAACAAGTCCCTCTTAGAGGGGCAGTTCCCTGGGGCACTCAAGGAAGCGATGGTCCGCCCTCTCCTGAAAAAACCTTCTTTAGATCCGGCCAAATTGGCCAACTATCGGCCGGTCTCTAATTTGCCCTATTTGGGCAAATTAATTGAGAGGGCGGTGGCAACACAGCTGCAGGGCTTTTTGGATGATGCTTCCGTGCTCGACCCCTTCCAGTCTGGCTTTCACCCGGGACACGGGACGGAGATGGCTCTGGTCGCTCTGACTGACGACCTCCGGAGGCATCTGGATCGAGGCGGATCGGCGGTACTGTTGCTGTTAGATCTGTCGGCCGCGTTTGACACGGTCGACCACCAGTTACTAGTCCACCGCCTTGCCAACGTGGGGATTCAGGGACTTGCCTTACAGTGGCTGGCTTCCTTTCTCCAAGGTCATGGACAAAGGGTGGCACTGGGGGAACAGCAGTCCAGGAGACACCCGCTGGAGTGCGGTGTGCCCCAAGGGGCTGTGTTGTTCCCCATGTTATTTAACATCTATATGCACCCCCTTGCCCAGATTGCCCGGAGGTATGGGCTCGTGCCCCACTCGTGGGCTCCTGCAAGGCTGCCCCCGCGATCGCCCGATGCTGCTGCCGCTGCGAGCTGCTGAACTGTCATCCCAGCACGAGAGGCAACGGCAGCACCTTGCCCCCACGTCCGGACTCCACGAGCACGAGGCAGCAACTGGCCTGGGCGGGAGCGGAGCTGAGCTTAACTAGGCTGGCTCCTCCCCGCCCATGTCCGAGCGTGCTGCGCTGGGACATCGTTGCTGCCCTGCCTTCCTCCACGGCAGCAAATCAGCCCCCGGCCGCCATTGCCTTTGGTGGCGGCCGGGAGCTCCCTTCTACCTGCCTCCTCCTTCCCTTGTCTGAATATTTGGTTTAATTATTTTCTGGCTTATTGTCTTTTCTTTTGATGTGATGGGTTTTATTTTGTTTTATTGCTCTCACTTTTTGTTTTGCTTCCATATTGGCTTTCATGAGCTGCAAAATGATCATTTCAAACATACTTTAATTTAAAATGTGCAGGAGTATTGAGGCACTTTAAAGACTAAGATTTCAGTAACTAGAACCTGCTTTGCCAGACATCTGACAAAATGTGCTCTATACCAGGGGCAGGCAATCTTTTGGCTTCATGTGCTTTAAAAATGCAGTGGCTACCTATGAAAGTTTTGATGTACTGCAAAACAAAAATAGGGATGGGGTTGCACTTGGCCGGACATGCTTAGAGCCAGCCAAGAGCCTAGTGATGCTGAAAGGCAGAAATCCCATCTACAGTGTGTTTCCCCAGCCCAATTTGAGAAAACACTCGGCACAATTCTGTAGAGTAGAACCAGATCTACAACTTTATTAATAATAAAGGAGGGAAACACGGGTTCAACCAGATTTAGGATCCCACAGCTCTCCCTAAGGTTACAATGGGAGACATAAGATTTTATATCCCCTGTGAGTGGTTAAGACGCTGAACTACAGGCTGTGGAAGGTCAGTAGTTCAGCAGTTCGAGACCCGGGTGCCGCATGACGGAGTGAGCTCCCATCTCTAGTTCCTGGTTCTGCCAACCTAGCAGTTCGAAAGCAAGAAATTGCAAGTAGATAAATAGGTACCACTTCGGTGGGAAGGTAACAGCGTTCCGTGCACCTTGGTGTTTAGTCATGCCGGCCAAATGACCATGGAAACGTTTTCGGACAGCGCTGGCTCTTTGGCTTTGAAATGGAGATGAGCACTGCAACCCTAGAGTCGGACTCGACTGGCTTTCGATCAAGGGAACCTTTACCTTTACCTTTACCTATGACACTTAGAAATAAATCATAATTATTGGTTCCATCAAACTTCGTCATATATCAGTCACAATGTTCTGATTGGGCCCAGACCTGTGGGCTGGATTTTCTCAAGCAAAAATGTACCTCCTTCATTTAAACAATGGGCCTTCTTCTTCCCAGGCTATGAAATTCTAAAAGTATCTAATGTAGCAGATATGGGTACATAGTGGTGTGTGTTCTTCATCTAACGTAGGCTAAATGACATCAGGAATATGTGCAGTTATAGTTGGCCAGAACAAGCAAAATCATAAGCAGTATGATTGCCTGTCAGCATTTAGTATTTTACCCAGAATGCATTTAAGCAATGAAGCAAAGTGAATATCTGAATATATGTTCATGACTGATTTGAGTTACTGTGATTAGAATAATCAGTGGCACTTAACATATGTACCATGGAAGTGCTAAGTGCACCCACCAAGTCAAACCTGTTAGTGGCAGAGAGTGTTTCATAAACTGTGCGTACAACAATGCTGCCAGCATCTAAGGGGTTCATTTTGGATGGCTTTTTTTCTGTTTCGGTCTGGGAGATGATAATGGGCATCAGACATTCTTTTTGCTTTACCTGCCAGTGACTCAGTTGCTTGGACCATAAGTGCGAAGCAAAATGGCCTGGTATGCTGCTGTCAGCCGGTGTGTGACTCAGGACTGCTCTGGTCTATGAAAGCTTCACCTCTCCAGTAATGTACTGGTTTTTGGTTGGGGGGTGGGGACTGCTGGGTAGAAGGGAAGAACTTTTAAAATTCATTTTGGAAAATGTACTTGCCATTCTTGAAACATTTGATCAGTCATGACACCATAAATAGCAGAAATGTTTTAAAGCAGTTTAAAAGATGCTTACTTTGTATTTCTTTTAACCTCTTTGTGAAAGCTGGAATGACCTCAAGCATTTGTTTTATATCAGTTCATTAAATTGACTGATGTCCTGCCATATTGGCCTGTTTTCTTCTGAAGGCTATGCTTTTCTTAATTCAAAACTCTTGGCAATGTACAAAATGAGTTTTGGCAATAGGATGTTAATTATTCCAGACAATAAAAGTTCACATGACTAAACACTTTACTACTAACAAGTTATGTATTTACTGGCTTCCAAAGTGCACAAAGTTTCATAGATTAATAAAGATTTTTCATTGCAGTAAAAACCTGCGGCCTTTCATTAGAAATGTGAGTTTCCAAGCTTCATTTTAGAAATGAAGTTTCTAGTTCTCATATTTCGAAATAAAATTTAAAAGTTCTTAACAGTTAAATTCATTGTTTTATCCACTGAAACTCACTATCTTGATCTTTCTTTTGGCAAATTATTTTTTTATATTTGGTTAAATTGAAGTTCACAATAAACATCCCCTTGGTAACTTCCATGGTATACATTGCCCTTACATCTTCAGCTGAATGAGTGAGGGCTCCAGGTCTGTGTTTGTGTCCTGAGGTGGAGTACCTGTAAGCATTCTGAGCATAGCAGTGTTCACTGTTTTCTGTAACAATGTTAGTTCTCCTCCTTGGCTGTTTATACAAAGGGTTGCCATCTGTGAAAGTTTCCTGAAAGTGTGCCTGATCTGAGTCCAGGGAGATGCACGTTCATCCC